GTTTCCAGACATCTTGTAACGACGCGCGGTCGTCTGATGAGAACGAAGGTTGCCATGGCGAGACGATTTCGTCACGAACAGTAGACGATTCCGGTAGGCCTGCTTTTTCTGCGAGTTCCGTGTTTGAAGAGTGTTTTTGAAGTTTTTGGGCCGACGCGGAATTTTTTTTGCGAGGAGATAGCGAATGCTGATCATTATTCCTCGCTAGTGTTCTCTGTGCATACTGCATGCAGTTCTTTGCTTGTTAGTTCATATTGCAACTGTTCCAAACCCCGTAGTTGGGATCGGGATGTTTGCGCCACATTCTGCGGATCTTTGGACGATTGACGTGCCTCAATTGAAGGGATTTTTTCCCTCCTAATATATAACGATAGAATAACATTCTAAAATCAAAACGGTGGCAGCGGTACACTAATCGATTTTACCACGAGATTACTTATTTCAGCACCTCTCATTATACCAAAGCCGCCACGCTGCGGAGAAACAAGAAGTTTTCGTGTTCTCAATAATTGTAGTTTTTTTTAACTTCTATTATATAGGTTTAAACTTTTGTTCTTAACAATTTATCAAAAATGGTTTGAAGACGCTCTGCAAAACAATTTTATTTCATATTTCAATCAAAGGACGCATTAAACGAATGTTTAGTCCACCCGTTTTCGGTACATTTTCAAGTACAAGTTTAACTTATATCTTATCAATTAACTTGCATGTTTTCTTTCAACAGTTCCAATTGAAGTTTTTCGCCATATGCTTATAACCGACCGGCGTTTGCCCAGACCTTATTCCGCGGTGTTCTGGAGCCCGGTCACGTGTCACTACCCTACATGCGGTAGTGACGTAATCATTGCGGGATCTCTTTGCACATGCAGTTAGTCTTTTGCGAACAACAGAAGCTACGCATCATGATTATAGGAAAAATGTATTCAATTCATTCTTACAGTAATTTATTTCGACTAACGTATATATTAATGCCATCTTAATAGATATTCCAAAATATCCCTTCAAATACCTTTATATTTCAACAATTCTGCTCTCAGCTTATTTCCCATTTAATCAACTGTTTGCGTTCTTTTGTTACTCCATTTTTCCGTTGAGCAGCTTGACGTAGTTTGGTGTGTAATACTTTAGATGACGATACTACTCCCTTCATACCAGGGACTTCTGAAAAAAAAGGAAAACGTTTAAAATTTAAATCCTGACAAAATCATTCAGAATTTATGAAGTGAATTTAGGGTTTGTTATGTGTTGATGAGAAATGTTGATGAAAGGTTTTCCAGCCGCAATCAATTTACTGTTTTGGAAAAGGTCGTAACTTACAAATTGTGAACGGGTTTGAATGAAATATACTCCATAGACAGGCGTCATAGTTATATCACGCTATTTTAGGTGGATCAGAACAGCAAAAGATATGCATTCTATATATGGTCTAACAACTGACAGTGGTTGGGTTACATCACAATCTATACGTTTCAATTAATTCAGTAGATTTAGAATGTTCTACGGCAGTCGTGATTGTTAAGATTCTAAACACAAATAAAGATAGTATTTCAAAAGCGTCAGACAGTACACTCACCTTTCTCTCGAAGGTCTTGTATAAACTGACTTTCTGGATTGTACGTATTCACACTCTAAAAAAAGGTGTGTTCAAATAACACACCTTTTTTGTCCAGAATATAACACAGGTTAAGGTGTGTTTTCTTACACACGCAGGTGTGTCCCAAAACACACCTTAAGGTGTGTTTCTTGCTTGTCCAGAATTTGACACACTATAAGGTGTGTTTTGCAAAAGGTGTGCTTTAGTACACACTAAGGTGTGTTTTGAAACACACTGTTGTGTGTTTTCCTACACAACTTTGGTGTGTTTTCCTACACAACTTTGGTGTGTTCCAAGACACATACTGCTAGGTGGTGCAAGGTGTGTTTTGGAACACACTAAGGTGTGCTACCCAACACACAAGATCAAATTGCCTAGGGCAATTATCTAAATAGAATGAATAGTCAGAACAGTTTGTCCATGCATAAAGAGTGAAATATGTATTAAAAATAGAAAACATTATCATACAAGAAAACACTTACATATATTCACAACAAATATTTAAAAGTCATATGGAAAATTTGCCTTAATAATAATTTGCCTTAAATATATGGCATGCATATAATATAAGCATGAATGTCCAGGCATGTATAAATTGTTCTAATCAGAATTGTCCTTAATTCCTTGGTGCACCTTTGCCATAAATGAGGAAAATTTTGTTCCTCTGTAGTTGCCATCATTTGTTGGCAAAGAATGTCTTGTAGGAAAAGCAAGCATCCTTCCATACTTTCAGGGTAGGAGACGTGATATGCATAGTAACAACAAAGCAGGTCGATCAAACCTTGGAGTATACCTTCACTCTCAATAAATGACTGGTCTTCACCTGCCACAAAAACTTGGTTGACCTCCTCAGGAGACCCAATCACAACCAAGCGAAACTCGACATTCTTGTCTTTGAACAAGGTTTCTGGTCTCATGGTGGATGCAGGCTGTAAAAACAAAATTAAAACAGTTAATTACAATTCCAGCATTGAGGGTAAACCTAAAGATTAAGATCATTGATTTGCCACTGAGCTATCTACTAGAGTGTGCAAGGTGCAATTGACAAATAAATACATCTTTGAATTTTAGAACACTTGTTGTTGTTCCTTTGTTCCTTTTTGTCTTTCTCTCAATTTGCTCCACAGCCTCCACAACCTGTTCACTTCTCATTTCACATTCTTTATCCTTAATTTGTATGACAGCTTTCAATGCAGTCTCCAACTTCTTTTCAGCCTCTTTTTCCCAATTTTCTGGCCAATGATTCTGCTAACTTCTTTTCTTACCTAATTAAGATAATCAAAGACATTTTGCAGGTGTTGAAACAAGTTGCCATTGCTTCAATAGGGTTACCCATTGTTTTAATATTATACCCTAAAAACTACATGTGTATATGACTGCACAAGACATCATGTGAAGATACTTACAACATTTGGATGACCAAGATATGGACATCCTCCAAGACCTCTGTAGAAGATGTAGCTTGATTTCGATAAGTTTCCTCCGCTCATTAAATGTGTCGACAAAGAGTTTTGCAAATGTTTTAGGAGCCATTGCACCAGGTTTTGCTTTTTTTCAAAAGCTCCATATTTCTTTTTTGAGCTTGCTCATCATCCTCTGCAGTCAGTTTTATTTTCTTTGAGGCACTTTCATTTGCATAACCATGGGTTGTCCATGCATCGCTTTGTTAACTGTCCGCCGCCGAAGGTTTCTGAAGAATTGCGATAATTGTTTCTGGATTGATACCTATATATGTAGACAAAATATGATATTGGGATTAGGATCATTGCCATGACAAGTATATTTTAAGTACATATACAGATATTCCCTCTTGTGACACTTACCCAATAGCTTGCTTGATTGAAATCTCTCAACTCAGGGAATTTCTCGCACACTAAAATGGCAATCCTCTTGTAGTCACCTTGCTTTGGGTGGCTGGACAAACCATAATAAAAGGTCCCTACATCTGCAATCAGCTGTGTTCGCTCAGGGGCAACAAGAGCCATTTTTATTGCCATCTGCACTCGCACAGAGAAACTCTCAGGAAATGGGAGAGTGTTTGGTAGGGCTGTGGCATCTGAACTATTAGTAATAGGTTTGGGACTCTTGAGTGGTTTCTTCATTTGAACACCTGCTTTCACACTTTCACACTGCTTTCACATGCCATGGTTGGCAAAGGTGGTTTCACTGGCAAAGGTGGTTCCACTGGCAAAGGTGGTTCAGTTGGCTTTGGTGGTTCTAGCTCTGATGTGTGTGGTTCATCATCATGTGGCATCACAATTTGCTGAGGCATTTTTTCCTATTATTGACAAATAAATACTTTCATGTAAAATATTGAGAAGTTCATTATTAGTGATGGAATACAATTGATTATTCAATTGCCCAATGTGACAGTGCCTTCTCTCGGCTTAAATTTTCAATTAGTACTGTTATATAAAAGCCTGTTAGGCAAACTAAAGGAATTAACGACAAATTAATATTCTTGTTAAATCAAAGTTTATATTTATATCCTGTTAAACAAAGTAAACTTACGTTTCGGTTGTCGCAGATAAAGTAAAGGCCAATTTTGTTTTAGTTGAATTCGATGGCCAGATTTAGGTAAGACCGCTTTGAATTCGTCGATGTCTTGCATCAAAAAGTTCAATGTACCCCCATCAATAGCATTTCTGAAACATTGTAATCATAAACTGTTAGTAGATCGTATTCATTAAACTGTATAATAAAAAAGAAAGCTTAACGCACACATAAAAACTTAAACGCTTTAGCATTTTGGCAATGGTTCAACCACATGAGGCATACCTTTCAGTTGATCGCAAATTTCTCTTGAGATGCCTTTTGATAACAAGTGAGCAATAAGGTCTTCAGTGAACATGCTACTAAACACACAGCCATACTTGTGATGAAATTATATTTAAAAAACAGAGTAAATGTTGTGAGTAATCTTCTTGGAACGTCGAACGGGCAAGATATCAGTCAAATTTTTACAAGCAGGTCTAAATTTCCCGCATCACACCATAGGGAATTCCTATTGGCAGACTTACGGTCACGTGTTACTTTAAATACATATATGGTATTCCCAGTGGTACATTACCGTGAGAGAATAGAATGGCTCCCAGGCCTTTTGCAAATGCTCCAATTTTTCGGCTATCGATTGAAAACATACTGGGAAATAAACTAAGTATTAAAAGGCAGTAAGGCACAAGGCGAAATAATGTGTTTTTAGTATATACAAATGGCCGAGTCAACTGAATTTCGCTGCGATTACTGTAATTTTGTATGTTGCAGCGGACAAAGTAAGCTTTTTTTTATCACTTGGTTAGAATACACTCAAACGAGCCGAATTTCAAGATATTTTGTAACAGCTGTCCACGGTCGTTTACAAAGATAAACAGTCTCCAAAAACATTATTACAGACAGCATAGGCTTTAACAGTGGAAGAAGACTTAAATGATGGGGAAAATGAGAACCATTTTCAGGAGATGTTTGACGAGGGAGAAGCACGAAGTCTAATGCAACGCCATGCTGCCAAATTCCTTTTATGTTCCAAAACAAGAGGTATGCTCACCCAGAGTGCCGTGGACTTGGTCAAAGATTCAGCGAAAAATCTACTAACTGAGTATTTGGACATAGTCAAAAAATCGCTTGTCGAAAAGATAAACAGTAATCCTGGTCAAGAATTGCAATTTGACCAAGATGTGGAAAAGTTATTTTCAGCAGAGAGTGTCTTCGACGGAGTTGATTCAGAATACCAACAAAGATCATATTTTAAGCGTCATTTCAATTTGGTGGTAAGTTACCAACCTACCAAACCTGAACCAGCTGCCAGCTTTGTCAGCTTGCTTTATATTTTTTTAACTGATTTGCAGGAACCAATAGAAGTTGAGATGGGAAAACAGTGGAGAAGTGATTTTCGACAAGGGAGAAAAATACTTAAACGTGTCACAGTTTTTGGTTATCAAGTTCCATTATTAAAGACTTTGGAGGTAAAAATATATTTTATATGAAAGACTAGCAAAAAATTGATGTCACTATTCTGGTGCTAAATGCCATTACTTTGGCTTTTCAAGATTCAAATCACTGGATGCATCCATTTGTTGCAAATATTTTTTTCAAACATTTTTTTGATCATATATTTTAGGCACTTCTTCAAAACCCAGATGTTTTAAAGGAAGTTGAAAATCCACATTTTTCATGTGATGGTGTTCTTCGAGATGTAATGGATGGGGATTTTTTCAAGAGTCATCCAGTATTCTCCCTCCACAGTGATGCCCTGCAGCTGTTGGGCTATTATGATGATCTAGAAATAGCCAATCCTTTAGGTTCAAAAGCAAAGATTCATAAAATTGGTGTGTGTCTTTATATTATGTCTATGAATCTATGAACAGCTTATTTCATAAGCATGTTAGCTGCCCAATCACATATAAAATTTGTTTTTAGGTGTCTTTTACTTTGTGCTGGGCAATATAAGGCCAATGTTTAGATCAAGCATCCGCAGTATACAACTTATAGCTATTGCTAAAACAAAAGACATCAAGTCATTTGGGATCGATAATCTTTTGATGCCATTCATTGAGGATGTCAATTGTTTGGCGAAGGTATTTTTACTTTATGCATTACAGTATTGTATGTATATAAGAAAAAAAAAAGACAAAATTCCTCTAGTATGCAAATTTGTCCAACATTATAGCTTCCTATATTTTAGGCTAATGGTCACTGTTTTACCATAAATGGTGTTGCCCGTGTGTTTTGAGGTGATCTGTTATTGTGGACTGGAGATACACTTGGTAGCAACTATGTCAGTGGTTTCAAGGAAGGTGTTGGAGGAGCATTGCGAATTTGTAGGCATTGTATGGGAACAAGACTGGAGACCAACAATAAGGTAAATATGCTATAATTTGAAGAAATAGCTTTTTTCCCTGACTGTAATTTGGGAGATATTTTGCTGAGCAATAAGGGCATTTTTACAATTTACACAATGTGCATTTGGATTGCCTTTCTGTTTTAGTTTTTATCTGAAGACTTTTCAGAAAGAGATTTGGATAATCACAGACAAATATGTGCATGTATTGAAGATGAAGATAATGCATTAAACATCCGTGAACAACTTTCCACAACCTATGGGGTAAACAGATTAAGTGTGTTGGATAAGGTGCAACATTTTGATGTTTGCATTTGCATGCTGAAGATATAATGCATATATTGTTGGAAGGCTTGGTACCCTATGAAACAAAGTTGATGCTGAAGTATCTGATTGATGAAAGCAGATGTATCACACTCAAAGAGTTAAATCGGAGGATGGAAAACTTTGATTATGGATACATGAACAAAAAGAATAAGCCAACTGCAATACCAGGGAAACAATCAATGGTGTCACTGAAGCTAAGCTTAAACAATCAGGTACATATACTTTTAAAACCCTTTCTTTCACTGCAGTCATTGGGAAAGTATTAACTAATTTATATGTCTTGCTTTATGCAGCCTAATTGTCTTGAACTACCAAATGTAGACTATTTTAACCTGAGTCTTTTTGTTGCAGCATCTCAAATGTGGTGTTTATTCAGGTTCTTGCCAATCATGATTGGTGATAAAGTGGATGAGCAACTGGAAAACTGGCATTGTTTGCTGAAACTTTGGAATATTGTTCAAATTTGTACTTCTCCAGGAATAACAAAGGCTGATGCTGCCTATTTGAAAGTTATGATTAATGATCATCACAAAATGTTCAAAAATCTCTACCCTAATGCATCCATAATTCCAAAAATGCATTATCTTATACATATACCTGATGAAATTGTTAGGTAAAAAATTATTGATGTAAAAGTTACTTCCAAATTATTTTTGAGTTAGAGAACATCATCCTATTAAATTATTGATGATTATAATTAAATGTTTGCGTTGTAGGTTTGGGCCACCTAGAAATATCTGGACCATGAGATTTGAGGCTAAACACAGTTTCCTGAAAAGTTCAATTACCAAGAACTTTAAAAATGTCCCCAAATCACTTGCATTTTCCCATCAAAGGTATATATTTTTTAAAATCATTGTGCACAATTAGATTGACTTGTATTCCACCCCTCTAAAGTAGCTGTGTTTTATCACTCTAGGCTTAATTTTGAATAAATGTGTAGATTTGTGTATTTCAATTATACATTTTTTACAGAATTGTGTATTTATCATACTAATCATGGTGTAATTGTTTTTTATTTAGGAACATGTGCTGGAACCTTCTGAGTTCTCCCAAGCAGCCCTTGACTAATTACCTGTATAGTGGTGATGTTGTTGGATTAGGTAAATAATGCATATATAGTTATAAAAATTTGTAATTTTACATATGTATAAATATGCATATACAGCTATTATTCCAATTTAAATCTATTTTTTCATGTGTTTCCTAATGTCTGTTTAAGGCGATCACAATGTTGATTTGCACAGCCATCCATATTTTGGCATGATAGCTCAAGCTGCTAGTGTTGATCAACTGGCACAGCCATGTAAAGGAAGCAGGTAATATTTATCAGTTTAATATTGCCAAGTTGTTTTTTAATGTAATTATGAATAAAAAATTATATCATTTATATGACATAATAAAGGACTAACTACTACAATATTCAATCTAGCTACTATTTATCAACTGAACTATCTCTTAATATCACTGTGATTTATCAGGCAAAAACTGAATTTGGGATGAGATGAATCATACTATCTTATGTTTATCAAATGAACTATTGCATTGTAATCTAATTTTTTAGGCATGTTAGGCATGTGGAGATTCATGGCATAATTTACAAGCCAGGATGTGCTCTGCGACTGCAGGAAATGGATGAGATTGGTGAGAGAGATTATCCGGTTTATGGTGAAGTGGAAGAAATCGTTGTTTGGGAAGATAGAAAATTTTTTGTTGTTCGAGTTTTGGAGACATCTGCTTTCCACAGACATTTTATGTGCTACCAAGTTCATAAAACTAATGAAAGGCTTGTTGTAGTAATTCAAAACTTACCCTGGCATGGGGTTTTGCATATTATTAAATCTAATGGAAAATTTTATATAGTTGAAAAAGATAGTTCAAATGTAGAAGACTTTGTGATTAATTGTGAATAAAATTGCCACTGTATGGTAACCAAAAAGGTAAAGCTGTTTCACTCAAGAAGGTGTGTTTCCTAATGGTGTGCTATAGATAGCCAGATAGGTATGTCTTTGTCAAGGTGTGACAATGAAAAGTGAGCATTCTACATGGTGTA